AGTTCTTATCGCATACATTCGTAGTCCTGCATCACCTGGTATTCCATGTATCGCAACTGAGGCATGCTATCGGCGTTTAGAGTTTGGGAGAGAAAGTCCTCTCGAAAAAGGATCATTGTATCTTGCTTGTTCGTGTTTCCTTTTTTATCAGGAAAATCTGTTGGTTTGCTGAATTTTTCTGTTTGTTCGCTGATTTTGGTGCTCAAGTCCTAACACAGCTCCAATGGTAGATAAGATTAGAGGGAGTTGCCTTAGATGGTTTGGTCACTTAAAATATCGGTCTTCCAATGAACCGATTAGGAGGGTAGATGTATTAGATTTGGCTTATGCTAAGAATGATAGAAGTTTGTTTAAAAAGACTTGGTTAGAAAGTATTAGAAATGATATTTTTTATTAGATTTAAAATAGAATTTGACTCTTAATAGGACAATAGAGGAAAATGATTCATAGAGCCGATTTCACATAGTGGGATAAAGGCTTGATGTTATTGTTATTGGTTAAAAACTTAACTAATTATTGTTTCACATAAGCCTCTATTTGACTAACATAGATCTTGGGGCCTTCAAATCTTGAAGTGGATAGGTTGGAGCTCATTTGTATGCTGAAACACTTGAGATATGCTTAAAGTTCTTTCTTTTCTCCCTCGAAATGAGCGAGATGTTCTTTTGGATCACCAGTCTCGTCAAATGTATCAAACTTCGAAGGGATGTAGTCTCGCTTTCCTAGTACGGATGCTATTTCACCTACCCTTCACCTAGTTCATTGTTTCACTAGTTGAAATACCTGCTAAGAGCTACTATGTTATGATGGTTGTGTAGAAAGTGAGCCTTGTAATAGGTTGTTTCTTGAGTACGGGGGCAACTCTTCATTGACCCCCTTGTTTATTAGCCGTCTAGCAACTATGGGTGCTTTGGGCCTACATTGGTTGTTGCAACCAATTGGATTGCCATTGCGAGAGCGGTGCTAATGTGGCTTGTTGTTAATATGTGCCCCAAAACCTTCCTCAATGTTGGACGTTCTCATACCTTCCAATGGGTGATGTTGCTTTTCCCACAATGACCAACAATTAGAAGATCCACCCATCCTTATTTCCCACTTTAAAATGCATTTCTTTCCATTAGTTTTGTTTCCAATGGAATGGTCGTTTATTAACTTTTGTGCCATTTTTATTCATTGGAGGGGTGACTGTCTTATGTGGCGATTCGATCATCAAAGAGATGATTTGACAAATGGCCAGATTGAGCTGACCTAGTATATTCTAGTTTGATATGGATGTCAGTTTGTGTCAAGTCAAGTCTAATATTGCCATCCAATTTGCCACATTTAGTGCTTGTTCATCACTAGAAGTACATGATTCCCTATGATGATGCTGCACAATGAGCACTTTGATTAAGGTAAAGATTTCTTTGGTCATTATTCACCCATTGACACTTCTTAAATTTGATAATGCTTTTTTTGTTTGTTTGATTGGGTATAGGCTTTAGGGTTACATAATATTCTCAAAACACATTGCAGACTCTAAAATTCCTCACTTAACTTTGTAATATTTTTGTCTTTTCAAAATTTTTTTGACAAGGCAAATTAATTAATTAGATAAGATACTATTCAAAGATTTGGTTCTCATAAAGGACTTTATATTTCTTCTTTGAGGTTTTTTCGTGGGCTTAAGTGAAGTTGTATAATTACCATTGAACTTTGAGAGAGGAATTTCAATTAAGGATAGTTTATGGACTCTATGATGGCTTGGTAAAATAATATTTTGTTTGGATTGGCTTAAAAGAATTTAGATTATGGGAGAAAGATTGTTATTTGTTGCTAACAGCAGATGGTGAGGGGATTATTATAAAATTTGATTAAGATTTTATGGATCCATTATCTATTCACTGACCTTAATCTGTTTAGTCAGAGAGGTAATTGACCCAATCAATTCTTGTTTTTGCATACATTGGTTTTTTAGTCCAAGGGACCTTATAGGCATGTGAAAAAGATTTTTGAATGGAAAAATGTCGAGGCTGGCCTTGACTAAGAAGGTTTAATGTCTTAATGAGTGCGCCATTTTGTTCACACTTCATAGGCTTCTCTATTGGGAAAGATTCTGGCTTGGCTCTTCATTTGGCTGACCACATGATTTGTATGGGTTGTCATGTTCTTAGTGTCATGAGATTAATAAGTGTGATTATATGTTGGCATTTGATATTGCATCGATTTTTTATGAGCTTTGGTCAAACTTGAATATGTTTTTTTGGCAAACTTGTGCGTGTTATCTCTGTATAGAGCTTCTAAAAATTGTGTGGCAAGATGATAACGTGAAGGTTTTTTCACCCACCCAGCTTGTTGAAGCCTTGTATGACCACTTTATCTTGCCCAAGGTGGTCATTGTCGACGAATAGCCTTATTAACAGTTGCACACTTTAGATTGATTGAAGAGCCTGAATTTATAAAAGCATCTTTACTCTGTATCGTGATGTAGATGGGTAGATTGCGCTCCTTTGCCTTCATTATGGGACCCTTAGAGAAAGTAAGATTAGGACATTTTGGATATGAAGCACATTAGTCATATACTGCTCTACAAAATATGTTTCATATCTCTTAGTTTGGGAGATCATTGATTAGAGCATCTAGAACATTTTTGACATCAAATGAGCATCATATAGGCTGAGGTGGCTGATATCTTTTGTATATGCGAGTTGACGTTATAGTTGATTTCCTTTGTTGTGGTTAGCATTTTCTTGGTAACTCGAGGATGGGGTGGGGCCTTCTCATTAAGTGTGATTTTTTATTATCCATCTTTTGTAGATAACCTTTGTTTTGACTAGGAGGTAGCATTTTGTCTCTCTTCAAGCGGTCTTGGACTACTTTGATTTGGGCTATTATGATAAAGAGGACTTCTCAAAAGCTCTATTTAACAACCTTAAATGATTGGCTAGAGTATTACAATGAGTAAAAGCTCAAAATAGTCCCCTCATTATTGATAAATGTTCAATTTAGTCCTTAAGTTTCGCATTGCCCCAATTTAGTCCCTCAACTATATAAAATTGTCAGATTTGGTCTCTCTGTTAAAACTTTCGTTTAAATTAACGGAAGAAGCCGCATTAGCTTCTTTGATGGTATTTTAGTAAAAATACTTCTTACCTAATCATTTGCCTTCCTGCTATATTTCTTGGAGATGGAATTGGAGGCTGAATTGTGTGAGGGAGAAGACCTACAGTTGTGAGTATGATGTTGTGTATTAACATTCTGCAAGCGAGACGTAAAAGGCCTACTGCAAGCAAGTGCGAGTGACGCGATGCGCTGCGAGTGAGAAGCGTGCTACTACGAGAGGGCGCGAGTGACGCGAGAGGCCAAGCGATCATGATGCGCTTCGACATTCGGGGACTGGGATGGCGAGCAATATGCGACATTCACAAGGAGACAGAGATGGGTTGGTTTATCAATTACTTAGAAGATAATTTAGATTTTTCTTTAAAAATATAATTTTTTTCACTAATATACACTTTTACTACCTAAACTACCCTCATATTTAACTTTAAAGTGAACTTTAGCACTTATTGTTTCCTCTGGGACTTAATTGGATCAATTTTTAATAGTTTAGTGGCTAAATTGGGGCAATGCAAAACTCTGGGATTAAGTTGCACATTTATCAATAGTTGGAGGATCATTTTGAGCTTTACTCAAGTCACAACCTAATCCGCATATTTGGAATATAAAGTCGGTAACTAACGGTTTGACTATAGCTAACTATCTTTCAACAACAATTAAGATGATCGAATAAAAGGTCATCCAAAATTTAAAAAAGAGTTACTACTTATCCATCACAGTTTAAAACATATATAATTCAAGTAAACTGAAAAGTTCATGATCATTGAACTAAAATCAAATGTATGTAATTTTTATGTATCTATTATTATCCACTCCTCTTCTTTTGTATATGAAATCTTCTCTTCTGTCAGCTGTCTAATTTATAGGAGTCTTATTTGAACACATTTTATTTCAATGGGTTGAGTTTAAAGGTGAGTCCTATGACCATACCTTGAAGGAAAGGCGGTCCATCAATTTAATTTGGATGGAGGCATTTGGTTTATATTTTAACTTTAATAGGAACATTTGAATTGATTACTTCGTTTGTTAGGAGGCCTCACTCTTAAGTTTAAGAGCAATCCAACACAATTGTTAATGCCTTGAATTGGATTTGTTTGTAAGTGCAACACTTATGTCTTTGCTCGGAAAGGCAGCCCAAGGATGGCCACTCACCAGTACCCTTGGATAATATGGGCAGTGGCTTTTCATAAGCGATCAATTGATTCAATTATTTCAGTATTTTTTTTCTTCTAACTTGCATTACTTTCATTGTATTGTTTTTACTTTTCATTTCACCAAACTGTTATTTTTCATCTTCCTTTATATTGATTGTTATTTATAGCTCTTGATCCTTATATACAGATTTGGTGGTCAAAGTTGCAAAAGGAAACAGTCTTAGAACAGGTTTGAGTTATTTAGGTAAATTTTTGAATGTTCCTGATCCAGCATTGTTCCTGTGGCTTTTCAATTATTAGGTTGTGAAGTAAAGGTTTTGCAACACCAATTCTATTCATTGTGCTAGGGTGAGTGGACATTTTATTATGATTGCTGCGAGAAGTGTTGAGTATGCTATGTTCACATAATATGGTTAATATCTTCATACTAAAACAAAGCTGGCATCTTGTCCTTCCTCTGCTTTTTTACCCCTGAATTCTTCTAGCTAGTTCAGCAACTTAGGCTTTATTATATGTAGCTAAGTACTTAAATTTTGACAGTAGGGATGAATTTGATTGAAGTGTAGGACACAGTGTTTACTATGTTTGCAACTGAAAAACTATGTAAAATATTAGCTTATTTCTTGTCATTTGAATTTTCTTATGCTCACTAAATTGACTAATCATTTTATTGCACCAGTCAATCACTCAAGAAACTCGCCTAATTAATTATGGATATATTTTTATTAATTTTTTGTTCCTGTCCAGGCTTTATGATCCTCGAGTCCCAAGCCTGCAAAATCTGCTGAACAAGGACGTTTTTTTCCCGTGTGATAAGTTTTCAAATTCTGAAATACTTGACGTTCTAACAAGCTTTGGACTTAGGAATAGCTTGAATTTGAGTGGTCTGATCGATGTTGCAAGGTCAGTCTCAATATTGCATGATTGTGGCCATGCTGATGCTCCTCAGTATGGAAGGAAGTTGCTTTCTTATCTGAATGCTTTAGGGATTATACTTTCAAATTCTAATGGTCATAAAGAGAACCATGATGATGATCACCAAATGTTAACGATGGATGGGATTTCACATACTAAAGATCCAGAAGTGAAAATTGATGAAGGGAAGAGTTGGGAGTTTGATCAGGAAGTACTCTCTTTTCTTTCTAGTTTTGTTCTTGATATACAAGAATGTGAATTTTGGTCAGAGATTAAGATTATTCCATGGTGCCCTGTATATGTCGCTCCTCTTCTGACTGGACTTCCGTGGTTTGCATCAGATAAAAGTGTGGCAACTCCAGAAACCACAAGGCCAAAATCCCAAATGTGGCAGGTTTCGTCAAAAATGAGGATTTTGGATGGTGATTGCTCCTCAACTTATATCCATGACAATCTTGGTTGGATGCATCCGCCTGATATTGAAACCTTGTCAACTCAGCTAGTTGCACTTTCAAGGGCGTACACTCAGCTGAAATTGCAGTCCGAGCATGAATTTGATATTGATGGTGTCTTGCAAAGAGAGATTCCCCCTTTATATTCAAAGTTACAGGGCTACATTGATAAAGATGACTTCAAAATTCTGAGAGAAGCTTTGGATGGAATCAATTGGGTTTGGCTAGGTGATAACTTTGTACAGTCAAAGTCAGTTGCATTCAACTCACCCGTGAAGTATCACCCTTATCTATATGCTGTTCCATCAGAGCTGTGTGAGTTCAGATCTTTGCTTTCACGGTTGGGTGTGAAGTTGACTTTTGATGCCATGGATTATTTACATGTTTTGCAGTGCTTACAGCAGGATGTTAATGGAGAACCGTTATTAGCTGAGCAATTAAGTTTTGTTCAATGCGTCTTAGAAGCTTTTGCCGACTCATTGACCGATAGACAATCAACGGATGCACTTTTGAACTCACTATTTATTCCTAGTTCATCTGGACATCTGATGAGTCCATCGAACCTTGTTTATAATGATGCTCCATGGATTGATATAAATAGTACTCAAAAGCATTTCGTGCACTCTTATATCAGTAATGATCTAGCTAAACGGCTTGGAGTACAATCTTTTCACAGTTTGTCTTTGGTTGATGAGAAAACTGCAAGGGATTTTTCATGCATGGATTATGCCAGAATATCAGATTTGTTGGCTTTATATGGGGAAAGTGACTTTCTTCTATTCGACCTTCTTGAGCTAGCTGATTGCTTACAAGCAAAGAAATTGCACCTAATATATGATAAACGCCAACATCCCAGGCAATCATTGCTCCAACATAATCTTGGTAATATATTTATTTCATCTTTTTATTTTTTATGATCTCCGTTTATTTTGTTTTGACAAAGTCAACTTTTTTTTTTCTTTAATTGCCGCGATCTTACCATTGGAAAAATCAAATAGAATGTTTCTAAAAATAAAATGTCCAATCCCACTAAGAACTTATCAGACAACATTATTCTTCTTCTCAAATATTTGTACATAGCTATGATGCACAGACAATGGACATGATGACACAGATGCGAGTCGGCACGGATACATGATACATCAATTATTGAAAATATATGACACGGACATGGGTTGGACATGGTATTATAATTTTTATATTTTAAAAATAGTATAGAAAAATTGAATAAATATAATATTAAAAATAATTTAGAAATAATTAGTTATTTAACTAGAATTTGTGCTTAAAATGATTAATATTAGGATGATGAGAGTCAGACGTCGATGCCGTGTATCAAACATCAAGAGAGGAGACAACAGTGTTGTCGAGAGTTGGGTATCGATGCTATTCAGTAAGTATCAGACATCAATGTCAGGAGGGCATCTGACGTTGATGTTGAGAGGTTGTCTGTTAAGAGGGCGTTGCTTATTGGACAAAGATAAGCTGCCAAGTTGTGGTTTAAGAAATTGCTAACATCGAGCATCAATGTCAAGATCCTGTTAGACTTTAATGCTATGATGGTTTTAAAATGTCGATGTTGTAACGACATCAGATATCGATGTTGAGATGACATCGAGCATTGTTTTGAAAGCAAAATCGCAATCCGCCAAAGAGAAATGAAAATGAGAATATTTGGTGAATGGGCTATTGAGTGCGGACGATTGATTTGGTGTTGTGGATATGAAATAATAAATTTAATTTTAATGTTTAAATAAATAAAAAAATATAAATACAAGAAATTATATTTAAAACAAATTATAAAATTTTTAAGATATGCATGTCCAATTTATATTTAATATTTTTTAATCAAACATATTTTCGGCATGTCCGACACGTGCAGAGGCGTGTCAGAAGCGTGTCGGACACTGCATGCCTCTTTAAAGAGAGTGTCGGTGCATCATAGGTACATAGCAAGGATGTTCCAAGTTCACATCATGAAAGTGAGGGGACAAGGAATGTTTAGTTGCTTCTTGAAAGAACTCATCTTTTTTCTTTCAAAATTTCATTTACCTTCAAAAGGAGGAATTCTGGACCTATTTTTGTAGGAGCCTTGGTACATATTCATTTAAAACCATAAACAATTTAAAATTTCATATATGACCCTACTATAAAGTAAAATGAAAATAACTTAAATTTTCTTACATATTTCTTTTCATGAAAGATTAAGGATTTCATTATCCTAAACAAGATATAAAGGCATAGACATGGAAACTAAACTTACCTGGTCATGTACCGATTCTCTTGGCTCCAAAACTACTCTTCGGAGGAGTGGTGGGAGTTTTTATGTTGGTGGAGGAATGTTGGATCAATTGCAATTTGTAGGACTTCGAAATCACCCTTTGAGGAAGTGAGACTTTGGCCAATGGGAGGATGGTGGAACCATAGCTTTTGGGAGCAACAAATTAACAACCTATATTGACAAAGTTGGGATTCCGCTATTAAGCACAACAACAACATCAAGCCTTTATCCCACTACGTGGGGTCGGCTACATGAATCCTTTTTCTCCATTGTGTCATATTAAAAGTCAAATTCTCATTTAAATCTAATAAAGAAAGGTCATTCCTAATATTTTCTAACCAAGTCTTTTTAGGTCTACCCCTACCTTTCTTAACATAAGTCAAATCTAATACCTCTACTCTCCTAACCGGGTCATCGGAAGGCCGCCGTTTTATGTGACCAAACCATCTAAGGCGACTCTCTAATCTTATCTTCTACTGGAGTTACTCCAACCTTTTCACGTATATGCTCATTTCGTATCCTATCTCTAAGGGTAAAGCCACTCATCCACCTGAGCATCCTCATCTCTGCCACACTTAACTTAGTATTATGCTTCTCTTTTAATGGCCAACATTCGGCACCATAAAGCATTGCAGGCCTCACTACCATCTTATAGAATTTTCCTTTAAGTTTGAGGGGTACATTTCTATCACATAACAAGCCCGATGCATTCCTCCACTTCAACCATCCAACTTGAATTCTGCTGATAATATCTCCATCTATTTCACCATCACTCTGAACAACAGATCCAAGATATCTAAAACGTGTACTCTTATTAATGACTTGATCGCCCAAAGTCACAATCCCCTCACTAGGTCTATTACTACTAAAATTACACTCCATATATTCCGTTTTAGACCTACTCAAGCGAAAACCTTTAGCCTCTAAGGTTGACCTCCATAATTCAAGTTTACCTTCAACTCCCTCTCTAGTCTTATCAACAAGAAGAATATCATCCATGACTAAAGCAAAAAGATATGGGCTTAAGGCTGATCCTTGATGTAACCCAACCGAAATAGGGAAATACTTGGTCAATCCACCTTGTGTTTGAACACAAGTAATAGCTCCTGCATACATATCTTTAATGATTTGAATATAAGCATTATTGACTCCTTTCTTTTCAAGAACTCTCCATAGCACTTCTCTTGGAACTTTATCATATGCTTTTTCTAAATCAATAAATATCATATGTAGATCCTCCTTATTTTCTCTATATTTCTCCATCAAACCTCTTAATAAATGTATGGCTTCCATAGTCAACCTACCCGGCATGAATCCAAATTGATTTTGAGAAACATTAGTATCACACCGCAACCTATGCTCCATAACTCGCTCCTATAGTTTTAAAGTATGACACATTAACTTAATATCTCTATAATTCGCACAATCTTATGCGTCACCTTTATTCTTAAAAATATGAATTAACACACTCATTCTCCACTCATTTGACATCTTTTTAGTCTTCAAAATAATATTAAAAAGTTTAGTAAGCCATGAAATTCCTTCATCTCCTAAGCATTTCCACACCTCTATTGGAATATCATCAGGTCCAACAGCTTTTCCACCCATCATTTTCTTTAAAGCCTCTCTAACTTCAGTTTTACTAATACGCCGATAAAAACAGAAATCTTTATTTTCATTAAGGGTGCTAATATCACTATAGTCAATCTTATTATCACAATCTTCATTAAAAAGTTTAGCAAAATATCTCATCCATCTTTGTTGAATATCATCTTCTAAGAAAAGTATTTTTTGATCTTCATCTTTAATACACTTCACTTGAACTAAATCCTTACTACTCATATCTCTTTGTTTGGCTAACTTATACATAAATCTTTCTCCCTCTTTAGTATCTAATCTATTATATAAATCACTAAAAGCTAATGTCTTTGCATCGCATATTGCTTTCTTAGCATCCTTACGAGCCACTTTATATATTTCCCAATTATCAGAATTCTTAAAATTAAACCAAATTTTATAACAAAACTTCTTATTTTTAATCTTTTCTTGCACGTTTAGATTCCACCACCAACTATTTTTACTATTATGAGCTTTTCCCTTTGATACTCCAAGAATATCTTTTGCAATATTCTTAATACCACTAGCCACTTTTTCCCACATAGCATTAGCATCATCATGCACAGACAAAATCTTAAGATCTAAAATCTTATTCTCAAAAATATTTTTGTTAATATTTTGTAAATGCCCCCATATAATCCTAGAAAATCGTTTAACTTTATTTTTTATTTTATGCCCCTTTATCTTAAAGTCCAAAACTAATAATCGATGTTGGGTACATAAATTTTCACTCGTAATTAAGCACAACAAAAAAGTTAATTTGATTAGGTGTAAAAGAGACTTGGCGTTGAGAATTACATTGTTGGCAGTTGATTCTGCAAACCTGTGGACTTGTTGTTTTACTTTTTTTTTTAATCTTCAATAACCTATGCATTTTCTTCCATAATCTCTGGAATATCTTCTAGAACCATAAAATAAGAATCATCAACTGTCTCAACATCAGAAGAGGAGATAGTTTAATCTTTCTCATTAGAAAAACGTTCATCATCATAGACATCTTCAAAGATTTCAAGAGTGTTGGATATGGGATCTAAGGTCAGTGAAAATATGATGCAGGACTTAAATTCCTAAGCGATGTTAATTAAGAATTTTACATGCTTTAATTTAGAGAGCAATATTAACTAGTAAACTTATAATGATTTAAACGACGAAATAAAACAAACAAGGGGTGAAACTAGCTTAGGCCAAGTCACACATTAAAGGTTAAGATTGTAAAACACGAAAACGACGATCGTAGGTCTCCGCACGCTTTTCGATGCATCGCGATGAGACTTAAGTGAAATTTTTGAAGTTAACGGAATTTGATGGAAATAATTTTATAAAATCCAACGCAAAATTCTGATCGTTTTGATATATAAAACATATACCTAATTTTGCTTATTTTTAGAAATTAAAATTGATTTAGTCCCATAAATGCCAACTTTACCCCTAATAAGTATTAATGCCGAAATAGAATAAGTAAGGGCAAGAGGGTCATTTGCAAAACCTAATTTTTCTAAAATGGCAAAACCGAAACCCCCTTTCATTTCATTCGGCCAAATCGAGAGAGGGAGCGGACAAAGGGCGGACGGATGGCGGGGCTAGGGCTCGGCGAAGGCTTCTCCGGCGACGATTTTTCCGGTGAGGAAATTAGTCCAAATCGAAGAGGACGACGAGGGGAGTCTTAAGATATGATTGTTTTGAAGCAAATCCTTCTCGATCTCAAGATATTTGGAAGTGAAAAATCTAGGGTTTTTTCAAAATTTGGTTTTCTTTCATAATTTCTTTACAAAACCTTTAAAGAAGGATTAGAGGAATGATTTAACGATGAAAACAAAGTTTTTAGAGAAATTTTTGGAGGATGAAATTTTAGGGCTTTTTACTAAAACCTAATTTCTATTAAGTGTTTTTACAAAGATTATTTCTAAGGGCCTTAGGAATGATTTTAAAACAAAAAATTTGATTTTTTGGTGAAAATCTCATTTTTTTGTAATTTCCTAAATTA